CCCTGCCCATGCCGTTATGGATCATCCCACATCTTCCTTGCCTTTGGACGAACCTGTTGAGTCACCACGCTATGCTGCATCACACGCCTTGACTTCGGCGTCCCGTACTGAAATGCTGGTGGAGCAAGTACTCACTCTCCTGCTAGCAAATCAAGTAGTGGATGCTGCTGCCGACGCGAATGTACAACCTCCTGTGCCCCCCCGCACTCCTAGCGTGCCACCACCTGTCCCATCTTCTTCCCCACCAACGCGTCTGACACCGCTGCAAGACCACGCTCCGAGCTTTTCGGGAGCTCCTGTGGGACGCGGTGTTCGTGCCCAAACCGCTGCCAGGACCACGCCAGGATCATCGTCATCAGCCACGAGGTCGGCGACAGTACCGGTCGAGCCTGCGGTGGCACCGTCAGTGTCAACAGCCCCAGCCCTGTTGCAACAGCCTTTGGTGGTATCGCCCCCCCCCCCCNTGAGAACCCGGCGTGCTCCGTCCCGGCTTTGTAGGGATGCGAGGTCAATGGTCTAACGACTACGGCATGCACGACTATGAGTACAGCCCCCCCCTCCAGCGTGCGTCTGTTCTGATTGATCCTGACTCTGCAACCGGCCACATCGTCGAGCCACCGAGTCAAGCGGCATCACCGGTGCCACAGGATGATGCTGGTTTGCCTTTGTCTTCCACGGGAGCGAGAGCGAGGCAGGAGGCTCCGCACGCTGCGGACGCAGCTGCAGCGGAGGCCGACACCATCCGCATTCACGACAAGATGGACAAGCTGAAGCCGGAACAACTTGATAGTGTCACACGCTTGCCCCTCGGTCCTGATCCTGACGAATTTGCTCGCTTTGCGTCTAGCTGCAAGGGTGTGGTCACAGAGATCCTTAACAAAAGCGACGTCAAGCGCAAGCAGACTTTCAATTCCTCCACCTGGGTCACCGGATGGCTTCCGTTGTTGCGCAAACGTGTCCGTGCTGCTGTCGTTGAAGGCCAAACCACCAACCGTGCCACTCTGGAATTTCTTGATGCCACCTTCCTACAGGTAGAAAACCATCTGCGCAAGTGTCTGGATGATATGTGGGATGTGTTGGACAAGCGTGCGTTCGCGCATACGCCTGCGGTGCATGGAGATGATATATTTTCGGTATCTTCCACGAATGCTAGGAGCTCGTCTGCTGTTTGGAGTGCTGTAGCTTCTTCGGCGTTGCGTTCGACGGTGACCCCTTCGTGGAGCCAAGGTTCTTCGGCCGCCGTGATGAGTGTTGACCCTCTACCTAATGATGATCGGAACCCTTTTCTGTTGCACTACAGCGACTGGCCGTTGCAAGGACACTTCCATGAAGTGTACAACGTCGCTGGTGAGATGGCTCTAACCAAGAATGATTTCACCTTCTTGGTCTCGGCTGAAGAGCGCGCTCCGCAACGCGCCTTGACTGTACAAGGGCAAGTGCCTCGACTGCTTAGGAGAAGACCACTCCTTCAAATCCTGTAATCGTGGTTCCGTGAACGCCACCGGCTTGCTTAACAATGACATCAAGTTCTGTATGGAAAAAGATCCCACCCTTTGGGGTCGGTGGAAAAAGCGCATGACCTCGTATAGACGCCCTACAGGACGCAACCCACACCGAATTCACCCCTTAGGACGCGCCCGCCGCTCAGCTGACACATCGGACACGAAACAGTCCTCACACACAGAGCACTCGTCGAACGCTTCCACTTCGTTCGACGAAAAGGGGCTGGAGGGGTAAGAAATGACGAGCCGGTGGCGGAGTTCAGCCGGTACTACCGTCAACAGCAACCACCGTGCACCCT